ACTTTTTATTTTTTAGAGCAATTTTAGGTTCATAGCAAAATTGAGAGGAAGGTATAGAGATTTCTTATACCTCCTGCCCCTGACATGTGTTTAGCTTCCACCATTATCCATATCCCCCACCATAGTGGTACAGTTGTTATAATTGGTGAACCTGCCACATGTCATAATCACTCAAAGTCCATATTTTACATTAGGGTTCACTCTTGGTATTGTACATTCTGTCAGTTTGGACAAATGTGTAACAACATGAATCCAGCATTATGGTATTGTACAGAGTATTTTCACTGCCCTAAAAATCCTCTGTGTTCTGTTTATCCCTCCCCCACTATCCCTACCAATCCCAGGCAACCACTGATCTTTGTACTGTCTCCATAGCTTTGCCTTTTCCAGAATAGCATATAATTGGAGTTATACGCTAGTATGTAGCATTATCAGATTGTCCTCTTTCACTTGGTAATATGCATTTAGGCTTCCACCATATCTTTTCATGGCTTGATAGCTCATTTCTTTGTAGCATTGAGTAACATTCCATTGTCTGGATGTTTAGCTTATTTATCCATTCATTTACTGAAGGACATGTTGATTACTTCCAAGTTTTGGCATTTATGGATAACACTGCTATAAACTATACATGGGATTTTGTGTGGATATAAGTTTTCTTCTCCTTTGGGTAAATACCAAAGAGCACAATTGTTGGATCATATAGTATGTTTATAAGGAACTGCCAAACTATCTTCCAAAGTTGCTATACCATTTTGCATTTTCACCAGGATGAAATGAGAGTTCCTGTTGCTCCACATCCTTGTCAGCATTTGGTGTTGTCAGGGTTCTGGATTTTGGCCATTCTAATAGATCTATAGTGGTATATCATTCTTGTTTTGCTTTGTGGTTTCCTGATGGCATGCTTGGAACATCTTTTAAGATACACAGCTTATATGCCATCTGTGTATCTTCTTTGGTGAGATGTCTTTTCAGGTCTTTAGCCCATTTTTTAATCAGGTTGTTTGTTTTGTTATTGTTGAAACTAGTTCTTTTTACATTTTGGATAGTAGCCATTTATCAGATATGTCTTTGGCAAATACATTTTCTCAGTCCATGGCTTGTATTCTCATTCTCTTGACATTGTCTTTCGCAAAGTAAAAGTTTTAAATTTAATGGAGTCCAGCATATTAGTTTTCTTTCATGTATCATGCCCTTTTTTTTTTTTTTGTCTATAGGTCATCTAGGTTCTCTCCTATGTTATCTTCTTTTGTGTTTTACATTTAGGTCTCTGATCCATTTTGAGTTAATTTTTATGAAGGAAGGGTAAAAGATCTGTGTCAAGATTTTTTTTATTTTTTGCATGTGACTGTCTAATTGTTCCAGAAGCATTTTTAAAAAATTATTTTAATAAATTTAGGAGGTACAAGTTGAATTCCATTACATATATATATTGTATAGTGGTGGAGTCTGGGCTTTTGGTGTACCCATCACCCAAGTAGTGTACATTGTACTCCATAGGTAATTTTTCATACTTCACCCTTTATTACCCTCCCCCTTTTACAGTTTCCGATGTCCATTATACCCACTCTGTGTTCCCTCATGTAGCCATTGTTTAGCTCCCACTTATAAGTAAGAACATACTGCATTTATTTTTCTGTTCCTGGATTACTTCACTTAGGAAAATGGCCTCTAGTTCCATCCAAGTTGCTGCAAAAGACATTATTTCATTCTTATTGCTGAGTAGCACTCCATGGTATATATGTGCCACATTTTCTTTATCCACTCATCTGTAGATAGGCACTTCGGTTGATTCCGTATCTCTGCAGGTATCTTTTTGATACAATGATTTCTTTTCCTCTGGGTAGATACGCAGTAGTGGGATAGCAGGATTGAATGGTAGATCTGCTTTTAGTTCTTTGAGAAATCTCCATACTGATTTCCATAGAGGTTGTACTAATTTACATTCACATCAACAATGTCTAAGTGTTTCCTATTCACTGTATCCATATTAACATCTATTCTTTTTAGACTTTTTTTTTTTTTTTTGAGACAGAGTCTCACTGTGTTGCCCTGGCTAGAGTGTCGTGGCGTCAGCTTAGCTCACAGTAACCTCAAACTCCTGGGCTCAAGCAATCCTTCTGCCTCAGCCTCCCAAGTAGCTGGGACTACAGGCATGTGCCACCATGTCTGGCTAATTTTTCTATATATTTTTAGCTGTCCAATTAATTTCTTTCTATTTTTGGTAGAGACGGGGTCTCGCTCTTGCTCAGGCTGGTCTCGAACTCCTGAGCTCAAACAATCCGCCCGCCTCAGCCTCCCAGAGTGCTAGGATTACAGGCGTGAGCCACCGCGCCCGGCCTTCTTTTTAGACTTTTTAATAATGACCATTCTAATTTGAAGTACCACGCTATCTCATTGTGATTGTAATTTGCATTTACTGATTTTGAGCATTTTTCTTATGTGTGTTGGTCATTTGTATATCTTCTTTTGAAAAATGCCTATTCATGTCTTTTGTCCACTTTTAAAGGGGGTTAGTTGTTTTTTTCTTGCTGAGTTCTTTATAGATTCTAGATGTTAATCCTTTTTTGGACACAAGGTTTGGGAATATTTTTGGCCATTCTGTAGGTTGTCTGTTTGCTCTTGTGACTGTTTCTTTGGCTGTGCAGAAGCTTTTTAGTTTAATTAAGTTGCATTTGTCTATTTTTGTTTTTATTATATTTGCTTTGGGGTCTTAATCGTAAGTTTTTTTCCTAGGTTTTCTTCTAAGATTTTTATTGTTTCAGGTTTTACATTTAAGTCTTTAATCCATCTTTAGTTAATTTATGTGTATGGTGCAAGATAGCAATCCAGTTTCATTCTTCTACGTATGGCTATCCAATTTTCCCAGCACCATTTATTGAACAGGGTGTCCTTTTCCCAGTGTATGTTCTGATTGGCTTTATCAAAGATCAGTTCACTGTAAGTATGTGGCTTTATTTCCGGGTTCTCTATTGTGTCCGTTGATTTATATATCTGTTTTTATACCAGTACCATGCTGTTTTGATTACTATAGCCTTGTAGTATACTTTGCAGTCAGGTACTATGCTGTCTCCAACTTTGTTCTTGTTGCTTAGGATTGTTTTGGCTATTTTGGCTCTTTTTTGTTGCATATGAATTTTAGAATTGGTTTTTCTAATTCTGTGAAAAATGATGTTGGTGGTTTGATAGTAATTGCACTGAATCTGTAGATTGCTTTGAGAAATATGGTCATTTTAACAATATTGACTCTCTTGGTCCATGAGCATGGAATATTTTTCCATTTGTGTCATCTACAATTCTTTTCATCAGTGATTTATATTCTCCTTTTAGAGGTCTTTCACATCTTGGGTTAGATTTATTCCTGAGATATTTTATTGTTTTTGCAGTTATTGTAAATGGGATTGAGTTCTTGTTTTGGTTCATTGTTGGTGCATAGAAATGCTATTGATTTTTGTATGTTGGTTTTATAACCTGAGACTTTCCTAAATTCATTTATTAAATCTAAGACTCTTTTGAAGGATTGATTCCTTACGGTTTTCTAGGTATAAGATCATATCATGAGCACACAGAGATAATTCAACTTCCTTTTTTCCAACCTGGATGTCTTTTATTTCTTTCTCTTGCCTGATTGCTCTAAGACTTTCAGTACCATGTTGAGTAGAAGTGGTGAAAGTGGGCATCCCTGTCTTATTCCAATTCTTAGGAGGAATGCTTTCAACTTTTCCCCACATAGTATAATATTGGCTGTGGGTTCGTCACATACGGCTTTTACAATTTTGAGGTATGTTCCTTCTATGCCTAGTTTGTTGAGAATTTTTATCATGAAGGGATGCTGGATTTTATTGAATACTTTTTTGCATTTATGGAGACAATCACA